CGGGACATAATAAATGGAGTAAAATAAAACACACTAAAGGAGTTAGAGACGTTGAACGCGGTAACTTGTTTGCAAAACTTACCAAAGAAATTCAACTCTCTATAAAAAGTTTGTAGCAACCATTTATTATTATTATTATATATCATTTGTTATTATTTATCTTTTTATTTTTTAAGTTGGTGGAAGTACAGATCCTAGTATGAATCTTCGCCTGGCCGCGGCACTAGCTCAAGCAAAAAAGGCGTGTTTACCTAAAGATAACGTGGAAAATGCTTTTAAAAGAGTATTTTTTTTTTTTATTTGGTAAAAAAAACATTGATATTGACCACTTTAACCGATTGTTATTGATCCGCTATTTAACACGTTAATTTTGTGATATGATGTATCGTGATTAAAAAAATATATATATTGGTCACCTCTGTTTCTTGAATGCTCTCATCAAAGACCAAATATAAATATATATTTTTATCACTTATTTTTTGGTATATAAATACCAAATAATTAAAGACTTATGTTAGGCTTATATACTAATCGAATCATTTTAAAACCTATGTCGCAAATTAAATCGAGATTTCTTAACGTTACTACAGCTTAGATCAACAACAATGGGTCAAAGGAGTCAATATCATTTATTTGAAGCAATATGTAATATATAATAAATGATAAAATGATAAAATTATTTTGTGATATTTAAAGGCACTTGGCCAAGGAAAAGATGGAAACAATGTCGAGAGTGTAACTTATGAAGGTTATGGACCAGGTGGAATCGCATTTATAATGTAAAGGTTTGTTTAAAAATGAATTGTGGTATTCGAATTGTGTTATCCTTAAAAACTGATGTATGTAACATATTCGTAAAGAGATACATTAACAGATAATAAAAATAGAACCGTAAAAGAAGTAAAAAGTCTTTTCACTAAAAGCGGGTAAGAAAATAAAATAAACTCAATGGATCACGTTCAAAGTAATCCACTAATTGGTAGTACGCGTTTTTTTAATAAGAGGGTCAATGTCGAATGTTTCATGGATGTTTGAAAAGAAAGGTACGCATGACGATAGGATAAGAATTAATTGAAGATTGAGAAAATTATAATACGATTTCAACCATTTTTATTTGACGCGATAACTACGTGAAGGTACAATCCAATTTAATTCAGGTAGTACACAAGACAACCTTGACATGATGATGGACAAAGCAATCGAAATATTTGAAGTTGAAGATATACAAGAATTGGAAGATAATGTATTGGAGGTAATAATTTACATAATCACATGATTTTCGAAATAAATAAATATAGCGATAGTAAATAAATAATAAAATATATTTTTAATATATATCTTTAATATATATCTTTAATATATATTTTAATATATATAATTCATTTTAGATTACATGTCCTAATTCATCAGTTAATACAATATCTCAAGAATTGATAACGAAATATAATTACGAGATTACCAGTATGAGCAGCGGATACATTCCTACATCGACAGTCAAAGTTGATAATGATGACAAAGAATTAATAGATAAACTTAACAAGTTTATCAAGTCTCTTAATGATCACGAGGATGTTATTGGATTTCATAATAACGCCGAATAAATGGAAATGATATAATTAAAATAAGTAATATAATCATTCAAAGATTTTCATTCCAAAGATAATTTTGATAGTGTTATCGGATTATCATTTTGACCAAATTAAACTCATTAAGTAAGTCATTTCACGTACGTACAATATTTAGAAAGAATAAGAATAAAAAACATGTCAAGGTGGCAGACCAATTCTTTATCAATGCATATAAATTTGTAATCACTTACATACATAAAAGTACGTACGTATTATGTACGTATTATGTATGCATATTATGTATGTATATTATGTATGTATATTATGTATGTATATTATGTATGTATGTACCTTTGATATGCAAAATCTGCGTTACCGAAATTTTTTTTTTTTTTTCACTATTTCTTTGTTTTATTACATGTAACCATGATAATGTATCAGATATACATACGTTTTTCCTATCATAATTTTCCGCCGATCATTCAATGACAAATGGTAAACTTCGAAAATCCCACGCACAACATAAATTTTAGATTACATAAAATTAAATATATTTAATAATTGATTTAATAACGATATGATTTTGATGATTTAAAAATATATTTTTTTTAATATTACACAATTATAAGTTTGTAAGTAATTACACAATTACAACAATTGTTCGCGAGAGAAAAAAGAAAGTTAAATGCTACATGATTGAACCTAAAAAACGTTTCTACACGCGTATACGCATACCTCCGTACCTATGTAAGTACATACTTATGTATATACATACGCACTTGCATACGTTTCGTGCAGATATTCGTTTTACATTATATGTTGTTTTTATT